CGTCGCGCTGATCAAGAATATATATACTTTGTGGGGTCTGCCACGCCTCCTTCTACCCGTTACGTACTTTTTCACAAAACCATTATACCCTGATTTCCCATTTTCAATGGGTTCAGGGTATAATAAAACATAACGGATTTTCACTCGCGCTTTTTATACCCTGAACCCATTGAAAATGGGAAATCCTTTTTCGCTTCAACAGTTTATAACAATATAATATACTTCAGTTCAATCTCCACTTGAAAACAAGATAGCTCTAGTAAGAGGGAAATTGGAGCCGGTATTCAAAATACAATCTAAGCCCAAGTTCTATGAAATATACATGAATCTAATGTACTAGCTCCAAAGACTTAGATCGATTTTGTCATTGGGCGTAGTTATATCAGCCATGTCGAATTGATATTGGGCTATCCAAAATGGCAACGAAATAGTTTGCATTCCTACGGACAGAGGCACGGACAGCAAAACGGACATTTCAGTTTTACACATATACACCAGCAAAAGTACAGCAGAAGCTGTATACATAGAAAATAAAATAAAGAAGTAAATGATCCCTTTAACCCTTCGAGATATTTCAATAATTCTGTGTTTCTTTAATGCTTACACAAAACCCAATACATGCACATACAGGCATACGCACTTACTATGGGAATGGAAACTTTCAGGTCGTGATAATAATATTAAAATGCATGCTTTTACCAAAGCATATGTGTATTTGAAATACGCCTTTAAGAAATTTAAGGGTGAGGGTGAATTATAACAAGTATGAGTGCTCTAGTCGGGACTGCTCGACTATGAGATACCCTGAGATACCCCTATACCATGTGTATAGTATTTGAAAAACGCTTTTAAAAAATTCAAGGGTGAGGGTGAATTTTAACAAAGAAGTAAGAGCGCTCTAGTTGGGGCTGCTCGACTAGGAGATACCCTGAACCCTCCAAGCTGATATTCATTCTGTACTTCTTTATACACACATGCACACATACATACACATACACAGGCACGCACTCTTCTAATTGCACAGTAAAAGCGAATAATTGCTCTTGTAGTGGGAAAATCTTCATAAACGGAGTATTTCAGACACATTTAAGCTCTTTCAGGATAATGGCCCTAAGCTTAAGGCCACAAAATCGAGTCCTGTCTACTTTTCAGTTACCCAAAACTTTTGAAAACACCTCCCCAACCCCCAGACCTGACCTCTATAAAAAAAAATTGTGGAGCCAGGTAGTCTGCCGAATTTACAAAACATCGATATCTTCAATATCTTACCTAAAGACATGGCTACAGGAAGAGTGGGCCAAAATCGGATCCAAGGACACAACAAAAATTATAACCACTTTACAAATACATCTAAGAGACACTCTAAAATATAATGGATATCATACCAAATGTTAAATGTGAACCATTTTTAATAGAACATTTCCGTTCTGCTGATAAGAATATAAGTTATCGTGTAAAGCTTTCTAAATCCAAAGTTACATTCTATACAGAGGCTAAAGAGCTATCACTCGAAGCTTTGTTCCCACAAAGCTATTCTCAGTTGATATAACTCGAAGCTTTGTTCTATTCTCAGCTGATAGCACAAACGTCATATATCCATGGGGTTGCTGACGTGGCGTCCGATTATTGGCGGAAATGCAAAAGCTTTATGATGGGCAAGCTTTATCTCTTGGAGCAGATCGCGTGGCCGGCAGTATCAAAAAGARCTCACCTAAGAGCAAMMCGCACAAGCTGTTGCTAATAGCTATTAATTAGAATAAAGTCGAGCTTATACAAATCTTTTGTGGATCGCTAAATAAAGCCTCCACAYTACAAAATAAAATAACTTATATGCAAGCATCGAATTTTTGCATGGCATAAGATATGCGCATGGGCTAGATAACTTTATTCCTAATCACTGACTCAATGAAATGGGACCAATATTTGTGTATCCTAAATGATCATTTCTTTCTTATCAACGATTGTCATATCGGAAAATAATTTTGGCTATTTGCCATTTGATAGCTCGGGTGATACTTTGTTAAGAATATTTGTATTCCTCCTTTGATCTGGCTCCCTATAAAGCCATAATTAAATGGAAAAGACTACTTCAACAGTCTATTGAAACGCAAATTAACAATATACATAGTTGAAGAAAACTTGTGGAAACTTTCATTTAATAAGGCATATATCCTGATATTTTGCAATATTTTCTGGATTCAGGTCCGCGACCTGACCAAAATTTTACTGAAGGCTAAAGAAATATTCATTTGATTAAATTTGTCTCCATTTCTTTTTTTTTTCGTCAAATTCCGACTTGTGTATTATATGGGGTCTGTGATGGTTTCTTCTATCTGTAACGTACATTTTCACTAAAACGCTATACCCTGATATCTATTTTCAAATGTCATATCTTCTGAAACTGACATGATACATAACGGACGTATAGACTCAGTTCGTCGCTCTGCTCAAGGATACATATAGTTTAACGGGTCCTCTACGCCTGCGTGTTATATACATTGAACAAAATCATTACACTATAATTTCGCATTTCAATAGGTTCAGGGTATACAACAATAGACGTCGGTATCCGAAACTGTATAAACTTGTACTGCATAATTTTCAGTTTGAAAGTATTGACAAATTTTATACAAAGATTCGTTCAAGGTATAAAATCGTAATTATATTTTTTTAACTTTAGCTGAATGTCTCACCGGTTTTGTTCCTTTTTCGAATATAGTTGATAGTCCTTGAATATTAACAAAGTCCGAAGCAAATGGAGCATAATGGTAAGGAAAATACCAATTCCAAGAAGCACATCCTTGATAATAATATTTTAGAACCCAGCACAGTCCTCTAACATATTGTAGTGCAACAGCATATCGAAATTGAAGGTTATCGGGTGATACGTCAAATTTGGACTCGTAATATCTGTTCTTAAAACCATCTTCCCACAGTCGCACTTCATCATGGTCTTCTTCGTCATCATCCAAATTTGCTGCTGTACTGGAACGCTTTGACCCCATTCTTACGGACGCTGCTTCCTGTTTATAGTTTGTTATAATTTGAGCTTTAGCGGCTGGTCCAACTGCCGACGGTCCAAAGACAGATTGTTCTAATGCTTTAAAGTTATTATTTTCCCTCTTTTGCCTCGCCTTGAACTGCTGTTCTCTGCGTTGTCTGTCCTTGAATATTTGATCCTCAACATTTCCTAAGTCTGTCATGATTAATTGCACCCTATCCAAATTAACTTCACCTGAATCTGTCAAATATCCTTTTGTCTTATAAACACATTTTTTGTACAGCTCAACCAGTCGATCAACTGCCCCTTCACGAATTTCTAAGCTAGGTAAATGAGGTAGAAAATCGTTTCCGACAAAAAAGCACATGAATACCCAGTCATCTAGAACTCTTTCAAAATCATAGCTGAACGGCAAATTGGGCATTTGCAATGTTTTTTTAAGATATTCTCTAAGCACGCTTAATCGAACAAATATAAATTTGACTTCTGCTCCAATGGGAATATCTGGTGTAAAATTACAGTTACTTGAGCCAACTGCACTAAGGCCAACACATTTGTCCATTTCGTGGCCAAATTGATTACAAACGTCACAAGGTCGTGGCTTATTTGGAAGAAATTCTTCGCGAATTATAGTAAAGTTTGGTTCGTGTGTTGCAAGCCCAAGCATTATAAGATCTGCATCAGCACCACAAAGAACGTGATGGGTGTTAGGATCATGATCAGGTTGTGCACGTTGTTTCCGAATATAGTCCATGATTTTGTGCTCTCCTTCGCCAGGAACATTTGCGTCAGATAAAATAACTTGTATTCGTTTCCATGCTGGATTGGTATTAATGCGATGATGTATATAATAATGTAAGCATTTACTTAGTCGATCCATAAAAGGTGTTCCTGGAGTTATGCAATTTGAGTCGAAGTGTTCGCCTTTTTCTTTTTCCGGTGGAAGTTTGCAGCCTAATTACAAAATTAAAAATACAGATAATATTATATGTAGTACGAAAAACTCTAGTTTAGACTGCTCGACAGCAAGGTCCCCTAAACCCGTACCTTGTAAATTCTTTGGTCCGCATAAGATGCATTAAAAAAACTGTCTAACATCGTATATTAAACGAAAATTTGTATTCAACACGAATTGGCTTGTGATGGACGATTTGCAAACATATGTATCTCATAACTCAGGTATAAAATACCGAAACAAAAAAGAACTGGACCGAAAAAAAAAGTGTGTTCATTTACAAATTTGTTGAGCTTTCTTCATCACGTAAAGCCCTCTTTATCACATTATTCATTACAGGGCCTACAATAAATTTCTTTGTCACCATTTCACCGATATAATTCTAGGTATTTTTGTTTGTATATGTATGTGTACATATACGGATGTACATACATATGTATGTATATACATTTAATATTCTCACCTCGTGTTAACAGTTCATTTCGAATGCGTTCAATTTCTATCCTCTTTTCAATTGTTTCTTTTGCAGCGCGAAATCTTCGGGATCTCTGTTGATTCATTTTTGCCCTAGGAGCTACTCCATCGATGGCCATATATAATAATTTTCTCGGTCGAACAATACCAAAAAGTCTATCAATACATTCAAATATAGCCACCATCATTTCTTCTTCATTTTTAGGCGCTGGTTTGTCTTCAGGATGCGTGCAAGGATGTATTATTCCGTTCATATCAAGATATAAATTATCGAACTCTACGCCATTAGGATTGGGTAAAGTTGGATCTTCATAAATAGTCTTGCCTGTTTCCGCATCTGTTTTCTAAAATTTGTTTATAAATACAGATTCAAAACATACCCATCGCAAATTTACCTTATTTTCATTACATTCTATAATGACACATGGATATTTCTTGCTTAGCCATCGGAAAAACGCTGGTACTCCCATTTTTATATGTTAAGTCTCTGAATCTTAGTAGCCAAGACACTTATTGAAGCTGTAAAATAAATGACAACAATAAAACTAACCGGAAAAATATCCAGAGCTAGAAACTTGTGATCTAAAATTAGTATCGATATTATTAAATCCGAGTTTCCACCTCTACACATTTTAAAACGCATTCAAGATTTATCGGTTTGATATATTTTGTTTCTGTTTCATTCCGTTCAGCGTTAAAATATATTTCAAACTGAATATTTGATGGTCTTACTAACTAGCGCCACTAACCAGAGAACACATAGACTAGACATGTAGAACAAACTTTTTCAACACCGAAAAAATGCGCTGAAGAGACCGGACAACATCGAGCCGACCAAAGACTCGGTCGTTTGAAGCTCAAGCAGTGAAAATAAGGCAAGACAAAATCAGTGCGCTGCGACTGCTGCCACGAAATGCAAACATTATCAAATGAAGCACGGTTATGCGCTCATTTTCCCTTCCTCACTCTCTCCCTCTCTTTATGCTCACTCTCTCTCTATGGTCTCTCAAATAGCAGCAGCGCACAGAAATTGAAAATTGTTCGCGACGATCCCAGTTCTTTCCTCTTGAGTGAAGGGTATACCGAAATCATAAAAGCGTTTGTCACGAATGAATATCAGGCGCTCCGAATCGATTTTCACCTACATGTCAACGCAGTATTGTTGAAACAGTCGACGAAATCGCAACAAATAATTGTCAGAATTTTCACGAATCATCAAACGATATACGTAATAATTCGTCGAACTAACCTTCTTGGCAGTTTCCTCATCTGAAACAAATACAGTAAAAATTGTATTTTAGAACCCCTTTTAGGTTTACGACTCTTACAGCTGCTCTCTACTAAATTAAGAGTGATAACATTTTTTGTGTACCAAAAGCAAACAGAATGAAATGTTTGTACCCAAACATCAGCGGGTATTGTAAAGCGTCATATGAACGGTGCGTTTCAGATATTATTTGTAGTTGCCCAGTACTGCGTCGTGTAAGCACAATATCGCGWGCWTCCAAGCTTTCACCAACAATCAGGATTGCCACTTCATTGATTGTTGGAGCATTAAATGTGCGTTCATGTGTTCCAGCTGGTCTTTTATCTGCTCTGATTACTACTTTATAGTCATCTCTTGGCATTCGCTCTAAAGCAGTCTTGAACAG